ACTGATTAACCATTAAGATGAGTTAGATTAAATAATAGACAAATGTATTAAACTGAACGAGAAGACATGCAAATAAAAAGTTTGATAGTAAGAGCTTTATGAATAGGGTGGCCGTATGTGCCGTTCATACGGGACACGTCCTGGCCAGGATTTTTATATTGCCTAAAACATCCAAAGTAGTTTGACCAATAACATGCAGGTATTGTATATAATCGACCAATCGTGGCGCGTTAGAAGGTGAGATCTAAGAGAACAATCAAAGCGATGCAAATACGCGCACGTGTTTGCTCGTTCGTTCGACTTGAAGCGCCGCTGCGCACCGATCATTGAATGACACCAAAGTACCGCGAGAGCGATTCGAAAACATAAGGAGCCGTCTGCTCTGCTCTCTATAGCTCTTGCGAATGTCATACAAAGATTGATCTGCACAGTGCAAACAGCCAAAACCTGGATATTTTAGGCAATATAGAAATCCTGGCCCAGGACGCGTCCTGTAAAAATGGCCCATATGGTCAACCTATTTATGAAAGACAGTTACTATGAATGAAGCATTTATATAGATGAAACACTTATTTTGTGTAGTGAAAAGAGTACTTTGTGATTGTGTGTATTGTACTAAGACAATTGAAAATATGTTGAAATGTTTGAAAAAAGTGCACTTTTGATGATCTGTTGTGATATTAGTATGAAGAGTTTTGAAAATTTAACAGTTGCTTGTGAAAATAGTACCAAAGCGAATAAAAAAACCTGTAAAATGCTAATTAAAGCAAAATATCACTGTATACACAACCGTTCAAACGTTCGGGTTTGGCTGCAAATTTTTTTTTTTTTTAATGTTTTGAAAGTCTTTCATGATCAACACGGATCTGATCAAAAATGTAGTAACATTAATATTGTGAATATTTAGCATTTTAAAACTTTTATATTTTAAATTGTCATTCATTCCTGTTATGGCAAAGCTTAATTTCACGCTTTCATTTTTGATAAATTTATTGCATCCTTGCTAAATAATGTATTACATTTATAAACTTTTGAACGGTAGTGTAACTCAGTGTTTCCCAACCTTTTTTCTGCCTCGTCACAGTTTTCATAAATAAGAAAATCCCACGGCTCAACACTAAGCACTAAAAAAATTCGGAAAGACTTTTTTTTCAATAATTAAACAATGCGTCGTCAGAGTTGGTGTTTTGGCTTTATATATGATCAGACACCGCACTTACCATTTTCTGAAAATCATGTTCCAATAGAGTTAACGTTTTTCGTTAAGCGACTGACGGAGATCTGCATTTTGTCCGTCATTTAGAATGGCCGCATCTGAGGCAGTAAATTAATCTCATTATGTTTTCATCAATTTATAGGTTATAAAGTTTATTATAGCTATATGGGGGCTCGTTTTTTTTCTTGTTGTTTAGTACATTTAGCCAAAATCTTGTGATATATTTAAAACGTACAAAAGAATACTGGCTAACTAGACCGCAAATGCTAAGACTCCTCTCCGCTCTTCAAACAAACAAAAACATTAGCCTTTATGGACAGTGTTTCTTGAGTAAAGAAAATGGCTGTACTTATTTAAACATCAGTTCTTTATTTACCCTTGCATTGCGAAGAAGTAGACGTCTGTTGTCAAACTGTGCGTCACGGCACTTAATTCTGAATGGAAACGGGGTGGAGTTATGAGGTTTGACTGACAATTTGAGGATCCAGGTTTAGTCACAAGCTCTTTGAATACTTTTCATTGGTTAAATACGTGTAAAACCCACAAACAGTCATAACGATGACCAATATCACTGATTTAAAATAATAACAAAATATATTAGAGAGAGGAAGTTTTTGATCATTTTCCACAACACCCGACAACCTGTCACGGCACACTAGTTGGTAGCACAGAGGTTTGGAAACACTGGTGTAACTATACACAAAATCTAGACCTTGCTAGTTGACTAATTGTTACTCATACATAGATACATGTTCTTGCATTTGTAAATATCTGTAAATAAAATATTCTTTCACAGCCTTTGATTTGTGGATTTGCTTTGTTGTCTTGCTTTCAGTCTAGAGTATTTGTATTGGCTGTAAGCAGATGACAGTATTAAACACTCTGCTGTGTGAAAGAGTTTAGCCTCAGGCAGCATTTGAAAGGTTCTGTGAGGACTCAGTAGTAGAGCAGGCTGATGTCATCGTGGGTTTTAGCTGCCAAATCACTGATGAGCTTGAAAATGCCCCTTAAAGAGCAGGGACTTGACTGTTATTAAAACCAGTCAGCTCTGGTAGGAATAGACCAAGGGTTATTTCCTCAGTCTGAACCGTCACCAGCGCTCATACTGACGCATTTTAGTTCTTATTATATTTTCCCTTGTCACTCTTCATTTTCTCCTCCTTGTCCTCAGTTTCTTCTCCATCCAACCAACCTCCAGTTATTATCTCCTCCTTTCTAGTGCCTGTGCTCCCCTTCCATTCTCCTCCTCTTTCCCTTGATTAAGTGGAGATGGGAGCACATCTAAATTTAACCACACTTCATCTCCCAGCTCCCCCTTGCTGTGTTTGATACTTTTGTTATCCCTCTCAGACTGATGGTGGAAAATTGCTTATAATGTCGGTGTAATTTTATATTATGGAAGAAAGATGTGTGTTTTACCTATGTTCTAGGTTTTCCAGCAGTGTGTGTTTTGTTACACTCATCCCTCCATCTCATTAACTCTGTGTTGGCAAACACTCTCTTACATTCCTTTCCTTTCCTCACTGGTGGACCCGCCATTCTTTGTTGGAAAAACACACACACACAAAAAAAACTATCTGTCTTTCAAAAAACAAAGCAAACTGAAGTGCGCTTAGGGGGATTAAGTCTGATAGATGCACTTTTAGGCTAGAATGATACATTAAAAGCTTTGCAGACTTGTCATCATGGTATACTGGAGAGCCCTGATTGGTAGGTGGCATAGATGGATGGACGGATGAGCAGCCTGCTTTTTTGCCTCTTTCTCCTTGTGCCCTTGGGTGTCTAACCACTAAAGCTACATTTTAGCCTTGCGTGGTCATGCCAGTTAAACTGTGCACTGTGCTGCATGGCTCACTGTGATAGCTTCAGCTCTGCTATCACCCAGTCTGCTCAAACACCTGCTGACCTGGATTCACAGCGGCAGGCTGTCGACTCGTCAGGCAGGTTCTGGTCCAGAAGCACGGCAGCTTTGAGGAATGGAGTCTGCCAGCTGCATAAAAACAGACAAACGAAGAAAAATGAACCTGTCAGAGTGCTCAGTGGCTGCACACTGTACTCTCTGACCTGACCTCATCCACTGCTTCTCTGGTCTGAATGTCAACTGGGTTTTGCTTGGCTGAGGAATTCCAGAATTGTGTTGTTTTGTGAAAGCTCCAAGTTGTGCTTATTTCTTCCTTGACTCAAAAATAATGTGAATTGTGATAAAGTAGCAGAATGTGAATGTGAAACTACACTGTTAAAAAAAAAATAAAAAAAAAATAAAATTATATCCTGACATAAAATACTGTACCAGTATGTTGTTGTTTTTTTCGTGGACATTTCCTTTAACCCTAAAACACAACACAATGCAATGTGTATTTCAAAATTCAGGTAAAACATCTGAAAAATCAATACAGAAAAATTCCCTGATTCTGACATGGTAAATTGAGCCATATTTAGATTTTTACGTTTTCTAAACAAAACATCAGTAGTTCTTCCCTAGGACAAGATGCCGTGTGTTGCAGATGTTTTCTGGTTGAATTCAAGAGTGTTGCTAGTTGGTTATTAGGATGTTGGGGGTGGTTGCTAGGTTGCCACCCAAGTTTATATATGATATTCTGGTCCCTGGACAGATATGGTAGAGCCTTTGGAATTTTTTTCTGCCCATTTTATTGTCTGCCAGGTATAAATTTCATGTCTGATTGATTTGAAAAGTAATAGTTATGGCACATGCAGAGAACCTGAAGACTTTCTAATGGGATTATTCATGTCTTGATTGTATAAAGTCCATATTTGATATTTGGTATGTCTGACATTCATTAGCTTCTGCGTGCATATTCCCTGCGTATCTGTTATGAGAGTCAGTCTGATTAGTGCCAAATGGCTTGGGGTGGAAATCCCAGATTACACATTCTAACTACTGCAATGACATAATGTGTTTCCTTTAGGAGGCTTTGTTGTGGATTTATTTTTAGATATTATGACATAGATACTGTAGGCCAGTGCTGCAAGCATATATTTTTAAACTAGCAAGACCACCAGCCCAGCAAACATAAACCTTTTATCTCCTTTCCTTTCAGTGGGATGGGCAAGGTGACAGTTAGTTCTGCCATCATTAACTTTTGCTTTTTTCTGTTGCTCCCAAATTAATTTCATTATTTCATCATTCTGTAACTCCGGAGTGAAATGCTTGAAAACGAATGACTGTTTTTAAAATGTTAATGTGCATGGCTGAATTGCTACACAAGCTTTTCAGCATCATGTTACCGAATCATCTTATTTGGGAATTCAGTCAAATCGGAATATTTTTAAAGGATATTTTTTTTCTTTATGAAGCCCAATATTTTAGGTTGTGCTAGGTAAAATTAATTTTTAAAAATTACAAATACAGAATTAAGAATAGAAAAGTAAAAACAGGGATATTTTTGATATACAATGGCAATACACAGTCCAGTGCTGCTGGTCTGTGATGTAATGTAGGATGTGGTTAGTTTATTCTGAATAGGCCAGAGGAAGGGCACCATAGTTAATTTCCTTTGGATGACATGAAGCTCCATTATTGTCTAAAATGTGCCTGAATGATTATGTGCAAAAAGTCGTTTCAGGTTGAAACATGCATTGTGTTTGGACTTAAACTTACAGACATGCTTGAACACAAAGAACTTTCTGTGATGGATCATGAGACAATTTCAATCTTGCTTTGTTGCTAAGATTTCTTTACTAGAACAGAACTGTCTAGAATGACATACATTTTCTTTCTTTGTGGTTCACATAGTGTTTATTTTTTCTTCTTTTCTTCTCCAAGGATCCTTCAGTGGCCAAGGTCAGTGGAGGGAGAAAGAAAACTGTTTCCTTCAGCAGTATGCCATCAGAAAAGAAGGTGAGCAGTGCTGCAGATTGCCTTGCCTTCATGCAGGGTGGCTGCGAGCTAAAGAAGGTGCGACCCAACTCGCGCATCTACTCGAGATTCTACACTCTGGATCCTGAGCTGGCCTGCCTCCGTTGGGAACCCTCCAAGAAAGATGGTGACCGAGCTCGACTTGACATCTCCGCTATCCGTGAGGTCCGCACAGGGAAAAGCACAGAGACCTTTCTCCACAATGGCCCATCTGATCACCTTGCTGAAGAAGCAGCCTTCTCCATCATTCACGGTGACGAGTATCAGTCCCTGGACCTGGTTGCTCTCTCTGCCGATGTGGCCAACATCTGGGTGACAGGGTTGCGGTACCTGTTGTCTCACCCTGGTTCCATTGGTGGAGGGAGTGGAGGGGATGGAGGGGTGGGAGAAGGCAGTATTGGGAACAAAATGAGGCAGAACTGGTTGGTGGCTGAGTTTGCTCTCGTTGATGAAGATGGTCACGGATTTGTGTCTGAGGACACAGCAGTGGCCACCATCTGTAAACTCTGCCCTGGCATTAGGGAAGCAAAGGTAGGACATTCTTTTATAATTCAATTTATTGACCACAAAATCTTGCATTTCATGAGTAAATGGGTTTAGAAAAAGCCAAGCAATACTGAATGTCTGACACCCCAAATTGAAAGCAATCATGAATGTATATACTGTGGACGCATAAAATAAGAATCATTCTACTGTCCTAGAGCAGTAAGAGATGAAAAACAAACACTGAAACAGCCATAAATATGAACAGGCAATATGATTGTTGTTCCAGAGCTCGTCTCTCTGTATCATTACTTGGCTTGACTTGATAACCAGCCCTGCTGAGGCAAACAGCAATTGTTTAGTTTTCAATTTGGCAGCTGTGACAGTAGTTTCATCCATGTTTGTTTGTGTGTGGACTGGACAGCTGGGGACAGAAGGAGGACAGACAGAACCCACAGGGCCAAGTCTCCAAGTCTTTGTGACAGCGGGTGTGAGGCATCTGCTTCATGTGTCTAGAGAGACATGTAAAGGCAAAAAGGGCAAGCATTGAGGAGCTGACTGTATAGGCATGACTCCCTTTGCTCCTGGCTATATCCTAATCTTGAAAAATGCAGGACAAGATCTAGGCCCTGTGAAGCGCTACTGTTCCTGAATTTGTATGACTTGTGACATTTTGTCTCTCAAGATTCAAATCACTATCTGCCGCAAGCTGCTTATTTGATTTGCCTCTGGTTTGTGTAATAGTTTTGTTCTGTGATTGCTCATTAAGTTTCAAAGTTCTTTTCGAGGAAGAATATCACCCCCCAGCATTTCTTATTCAAGAAACAAAACCTAAAAAACTGATGAGACAGGCTTACATTATAAGCAGATGATAATTACTGTAGACTGCAGAACTCTCAAGGCCTTGGTCATCAATAACCAACCGTTACCTGACAGTCGTCCTTATGTTATTTTTTATTATTTAGTAGATACTTTAAAGGGATAGTTCACCCAAAAATGAAAATTGTATGTTTATCTGCTTACCCCCAGGGCATCCAAGATGTAGGTGACTTTATTTCTTCAGTAGAACACAAACTGAGATTTTGAACTCAAACCGTTGCAGTCTGTCAGTCCTATAATGTCAGTGGATGGAATCACGGTTTTGAGAGTCATAAAACATACTCAAACAAAACCAAATTAAACCCTGCGGCTCGTGATGATACATTGATGTGTAAAGACACAAAACGATCGGTCTGTGCAAGAAACTGAAGAGTATTTATATCATTTTTTTACCTCTGATTTTCAACGCAATGTCTGAACATTCCTGAGCGCGTTCGCGTCTTCTTCTTCAGCCTGCACGTGAGGCGTCTTCTTCTTGCTTTACGGGGGATCACAGACTTATGAGTGCATTACCGCTACCTATCTCTCAAATGGACCATTGGCATGCCTAATTGAGATTGTAGATAGAGTGTCAATGACTCTCAAAGCCGTGATTCCCTTCCACTTGCATTATAAGACTGACAGACTGCAACGGTTTGAGTTCAAAATCTCAGTTTGTGTTCTACTGAAGAAACAAAGTCACCTACATCTTGGATGCCCTGGGGGTAAGCAGATAAACATCTTTTTTTTTTTTTGGGGTGAACTATCCATTTAATATCCAAAGCAAGGCATTCCCCCTGGAGCAAGTGCCTTGGGCAATAGCAAAATGATAATAGTTTGTAGATTAATCCCTTTTCTAATCATGCTTTAAAATAACAAGGTTTGGGTTTCTAGCTCAAACTGTTATCCATAAAAGTGCTGCCAACACAAATGTGTACTAAAAACGTTAATACAACTCTCTTTTTTCTTTTTATCAGGTGCGATTGCGCTTTAAGGAGATTCAGCGGAGCAAAGAGAAGCTAACCTCTCATGTTACACTGGAAGAATTCCAGGAGGCCTACTGCGAGTTGTGTACGCGACCTGATGTCTATTTCTTGCTAGTGCAACTCTCAAAAGACAGAGAGTGCCTTGATGCCCAAGACCTGCGTCTTTTCCTAGAGACTGAGCAAGGTCTACCATTGGCCACCACTGAGGGCTGCTTGGAGCTTCTTCGCCGCTTTGAACCCTCTACAGCTGGGCGTGAACGAGGTCTACTGGGCTTGGACGGGTTTACCCGCTACCTACAGTCAGCTGAGTGCCAGTTATTAGACCCTGAGCACCAGAATGTGTGCCAGGACATGAAGATGCCCCTATCTCATTATTTCATCAGTGCCTCCTACCGCTCCTACCTGCTGGATGACCAAGTGCATGGCCGAGCTGATCTTGGGGGTCTCATTCGAGCCCTGCAGGCTGGCTGTCGGTGTCTGGAGTTTGGGGTTACCGATGGGCCAGAAGGGGAGCCATTATTGGGTGTAGACCATGGTACAGATGGAAAGCATCATCACCACCACCATCATCAGCACCACCATCACCATCATGGTTCTGTTACTTTGCGCAGTGCCCTGGAAGTAGTCAACAAGTATGCTTTTCTCACCTCCCAGTATCCTCTGCTGCTGTATCTATGCCAGCGTTGCTCACCTTCCCAGCAACGTACTCTTGCACAACACCTAAAAAAAGTTTTTGGACCCAAGCTCTATACCCCTGAATCTCTGCCTGTCAGTCTGGGAGGTCGTGCAACCACTTTGCCCTCTCCAGAGCAGCTGAAGGGAAAGGTGCTTCTTGTAGGAAAGAAGCTGCCCCCCGAAGAGGAAGGTTCTGAAGGAGAGGTATCTGAGGAGGATGAGGAGATTGGTGGTGGTGGTCCTCTGGCTGGCAGAAGGATGACTATCCCTGGGGAAGAGGAACTGGGGGTGGTTCTTGTTGTTCCCCCGCCCCCACAGCCAAGGCGCCTCCGATTGCGGCGTGAATTGTCTGATCTCGTCGCGGTTGCTCGTATTGGAAGTCGCAACTTTTATGCTCACCGGACGAGTGCACAGCCATCCCAACAGCATTCCCCCCTCTCCACTCCATCTACACCAGGTACACCTATGACCCTTGACCCCCCTTACTGGACCCTGTGCTCTCTTGGGGAGGGAGAGGCAGGACGGCTGGCCAGTGAGAGCCCAGAGGAGCTGGTGAACTTTACCAAGCGCAATCTAACTCGTGTGCGGCCCAGCTCTGTAAGGCTAGACTCTAGCAACCCAAACCCACAAGGCTACTGGAAAGGAGGTGTGCAACTGGTGGCACTCAACCAGCAGACACCAGGTGCCATGCTAGACTTGACCCGTGGCCGTTTTATGCAGAATGGTGGCTGTGGGTATGTTCTTCGTCCAGCAGTCATGCGAGAGGAGGTTTCCTACTTCAGTGCCCAGTCACAAGGCTGCGTGCCTGGTGTACCACCACAAACACTCAGGGTGAAGGTCATTAGTGCTCATAGTCTACCCAAGCCACAAGGCTCTGGTGCCAAAGGTGAGGTCATTGACCCATATGTGGTGCTGGAGCTGCATGGAGTGCCTGCAGACTGCACAGAGCAGAGAACTCGCACTGCTGCCCAGAACCAGGATGACCCACTGTTTGACGAGACCTTTGAGTTCCAGGTGAGAGAGCGAGAACATCATGAATATATATCTAATTTATTTCATGTGTGATGTTGGAACACTTTATTGAAACTAAAGTCGGCCTTGCCACCATCTCTGATATTTGCATATGGTTTTTGCATTTTGCCCCCTAGTGGCAGTTGTATGTAACTTTCAAATTGGTTGTGAAGTAGCCAGTCCTGTAGCCATTACTTTATACTTTTTTTACCATGGTAAAATGAATGAACAATGAATGTACACGCACAAAACAAATGATCAGCAGTACATCTAAAAGAAAAACATTTTCTAGGTCTACTTAATGTAAATTATTTAACAATTATAAAATCACCGTTTTGGATATAATTATTCATAACTGCCCATTTTACGGAAATGTTTTTGTATATGACAATTGACCCTTCGCAAAGATCCACCCTCCTTGCTATCTCTGGCAAACAATGCCGCTCTCACACTACACATCATGTTCTCATGCAGTAAAAAATACATTGCAGAGTAAAGAGGAAACACACTGACAGACAAGACAGAGCAGGTTACTTCTAGTACAAGGTCTCAGGACTCACAGCTTTCAAATTTGGTCATTTTTAAAGAAATGTTATCAATAAATACCGTTTTGTGGCTCTTTAATGACAGATCACTGTATTGCCTCGGTTAAAAGCGCCATGTGAACCGATCATCTTTTCATGTGTACTTAAAGCACAAAATGAACATGAATGAAAATCGTGGAACACACCATTATTCACCAAAGTCCACTGAAGTTAATCTACACTCCTGTCTGATTTAAAGGGATACAGCTACGTCTACATGGGCATGCGCACATCAGTATAGCATAATTTGTGTCACACTATACAACAATATGTTGTCTGTTTTTGCATTATTGTCTAGGGTTGGGGTTTAGGGCTGGGTATCGAGTTCGATACTTTTTAGGCACTGACCGAATTGCCTCGATACCATCGAGTATCGAAAAACATCTTGTCATTCTGTACCAAATTTCGATACCTAATCTCATCAGCGTCAGTGAGCCAATAAGCCTGCAGCACTAGCTGGTGTGTTCGACTAGAAGAGGCGCGGTGCAGATCGATCATCCGCGAGAGCGATTCGAAAGCGCAGGAGCAGTCTGCTCTCTTTAGCTCTCGTGGTACTGTAATACCACCAGTAAAGAGTAGCGCGGGAGCTGCGTGGAGTTCCGATCATATGCAGATGTCCGTTCATACTAACGTTACACGACCGAAAACGTGTGCTATGTGACCATTCATGCAAACTGTAGCATCATGCTACATAAGACAATAAATAAGATTTATATTCCGCTTTTACTCAAAACTCACTTTAAACCACCATCGAGTGTTTGTAATAACTTCCTATTGCCGTCTAACAGACATTGAGCACACTTAATCTCTCTCGCTCCCTCTCTCTAATAACTGCATTAGACTGCATTAATAACTGCGTAAGCCTGCATATCAATGGCTCAAGCCTCTGTTATCAGCTCTAAAATGACGTCTTGTAATTTGCAACGGAAGGTTTGGGATGAGGTGCGTAAAAAAATTTATTCACCCCACACGAGATTTCAGGACGGAAACATGTCAAATGTCTTGAAAGAAATTATCTGAACAATGTCTTGATGTGTGGTTGGGACTCCAGGCCCTTAAAATTATTAGAGAAATAATGCACTCCCGGAGGTGGTTATGTGGCCACGACTATATGGTATGGTCTTTCTCAGTTCTCAAACAAATTAAGAACTATTCGATTTTTATTGACTGAACGCAAACGCTTATTCCGATAGAAAACACTGTATCGGTTTCCACTGATTAAGAAATACTTTTGTTTGCTTGGGTGGTAATATTAGGTCTATTATATTAATAGGGAAGGGGGCCCAAAAAAAGCCTAACAGATGTGTAAACTGAAGACTATTTGAGCTTTATTAAACCTATTTTGCACTGATTTATTGTGTTTGTTACATTTTGTTCCTTTGTGCAGTGGCTCAGGAGTCTTTGAGTTTGTATAAACATCAACAAGCTGAAAAATAAAACCAAATTTTTTTTTAGATAATGTAATCTTGTTAAAATTGATTTCATAAAATTGGTATTGAAAAAAGTATCGTTCAGGAACCGGTATCGAAGTCAAGGTATCGGTATCGATATCGAAAAATTTTGAACAATACCCAGCCCTAGTTGGGGTAGGTGTAGACGTTAATAAAACAATCTAGTAGATCGAGAATTTATTGTTAGTTTCCGGGCCGTAGCTGTCGGACGATATGGCGGATTTGGCGTTCTGATTGGTCAGATCGCCTGTCAATCAAGCTCTTTGTGAACGGTCAATTCTGCATACGAATATGAACGGAACACAGCTCCCATACGGGAAATTATTGACTTCTGGTCTGGAGTTTGATGTTTTTCTGGGATAGAAAAAGACTGTATAATACTTTGAGACATGAGACGTTTTACATGGCACCTTGCCTGTGGGTTTTTGACCCTGTGTTCTCTGGTGTGGCCAGTGACGTGCAAGGTTGTTCTGAGCTTCTCTGTGTGTATCAGTCTTGAGGGCAGTCTCCATTCTCATGTGTCTTAATCAGAATGCTGCAGTCCATGAAGCAGCAACTGAGCCATGTCTCACACTTATTACCTGCTGCATGCAATATTAGCACAGTTCCGACTGATCTCGGCTATGCCCCATCATCCTTAAACACATACTCATTGACCTCCCTTAGAAGATTGTAATGATGACAAGGTGATTCCAAACTAACATGTTATATTTTGGAGGATTGTGTTATATTCTGAGAGGATTGTGTTTCTGTAACAAAAATATTATTGGCACTGCCTAGGCTTCGTATACAGGTTTCAGAGGACAACAAAATGGCTGAAAGCTAATTCTGCTCTTAGCGCTGATTCAAGACAGAATCTGAGATTTGTTTTGAAAGTTTGGGGGGGGGGGGGGGGGGGGGGGGGGTTTGAAGACATGCTGATTTTCTCTCTATGTAGTTAGACATAAACATATCCTGATAGAATGCAGCGAGTTTATAAAAGGTTAGCTCTCACTGGTTGCTCCATTTCTTTCATTTCTTAGCATGCGCTAACCTGAGCTGGAAACTATAACAGAAATGTCACATACATAAATAACATGAATATATAGAGTACTGACCTGTGATCCACAACCAGAATGAGGTTAATGGATGCAGTCTGTCCTCATGGATGCACTGGGATGACGCAAGAGTGTGCAACTCAACACAACTCTTCTTAGATCTGTAATTAGGGAAGATCTACATCAAAACTTAATGGCCTGCTAACACTAATGCTCTTACCCTGGATTGTAGTTCAAACCTACAGTCTAGATACCTCATTACACTGCTCTATAAGTGGGTGCCAGTTTCTTCCAGCATTTTTTTTTTAATGATGTGACCTTTCTTTTAGCAGGGCCTAATTACAGTTGTATGCCAAATTTAGACAGCTTTAATTACGAGATGCAAATTAAGAGTTTCTTGGTGCAGGTGTGGGTTTGTTTTACCTGTGATTTCCAGTGCAATGAAGTGGACACAAACATGCAGCACTCTGGGTGTGTAGCAAGACTGCTGAAACCAATCAGCCTACATTTTTACAAGGTTCATCTGAGGAGAGTTAGTGTATGTTTGAGGAAATTGTGTTGGCAGCAATTTTTGAAGGCTAAAAAATGTTTTTGTCAAGAATACTAGTTTCTATCAACAAGCAGAGAGATGTTCAAGCACTCAATAAACACACTACTGTCATGTATTTTTTTCATTGAACCAGAATCCATTTGTAGTGCTATTATCCATATAAAAGCAATGGGTACCATCATGATATCTCCCTGCTTCTGTTTGCCTATTGTCCCTTTTCGGCTACATTAAAAATCCTTGTTGAAGCTACGCGCGCACACAGCAAACCAGAACTGTTCGTTTTGTAAGACCGAGTTAAATATAAACCAGCTAATGTTGTTTGCCACAAAAAATACAACTCTTCAAGTATAAATAATTAACAAAGCACCTTGCATTTCATGCTGAAACCAGAGGAAATTGGAGGCTTTAAAATAGGGGTGTGCAATATGCAACATTGATCATGGACGATAAAAATGTCTCCTCGATCTGCTTTTGAAGAAATATCGTAGTATTGTGCTACAGCACACATTCTATCAACTGCAGTTCTGGCGCCTCCATCTCAATATGCTGTACAACGCAACATACATTCACTACAGTGTTAACTCAGTGGTAGAGTTACACTCACGGAACACTGCACTTATTCGCAATCACAAAAGTACATTATTTGCATGTGCTTTAAAGCTTTGCCGGTTAAACATTTCATTCACATGCTCTTCTGACTTGCGTTTTTTCTGAAGCGCGTGCACTAAAAAGCTTGTCAAACAGCGTCTGATTACTGAACTAAGTTATCTTTTGCGTTAATACGGTCAAAACACATAAGGTTATAGACTCATTTGGTTATGCCTAAAATGAAAATAAACCGTTTAGAGAAGAAACCTGGATATGTGCCTGTACTGTATATTAGATGCGTGCAGGTCTTAAAGGGACAGTACTAAACATGCTGCTGACTGTCATTAAAGGGATAGTTCACCCCAAAATGTAATTTCTGTCATTATTTACTCACTCACATATTGTCCCAAACCTGTATTAATTTCTCTCTTGTGCTGAACCCAAAAGAAGATATTTTGAAGAATGTGGGTAACCAAACAGTTGCTGGTCCACATTGAATTTGATAGTAGGAAAAAAATACTATGGAAGTCACCAGCAACTGTTTGGCTTTCCATGTTCTTCAAAATAACATTTATGTTCAGCAGAAGAAAGAAACTCATTCAGGTTTAAAACAACTTTTGAGTGAGTTAATGATGGTATAAAAATAAAACACTATGACAGCAGAGAGAATGACAATTTTTATTTTTGGGTGAACTATTCCGTGAATGTTAATAAATTAACAAAACACAGGGAAAAATCACTCACTACTCTTGACTGAAAAACTTTAATACAGCTGCTTTAAGAGGAATCAGTCTATATAGGGTTTTATTTTTATATTTGTTCATTAAATTTCTTGAATGCTCCTGCTAAATGCACCTATTGTACCTGAAAATAAAGCACTGTTTGTTTTATTTGTGTATTTGCAATTTGCAACTTTATTATTTATTTAATAACTAAGATAAAATAATGACAAAGATTTTTATCTTCGCCCACTTTGGCCTAAATATCCGCCATTCTTTTTAAAAATTTTGTTACCTTGAAAGGCTTTGTCTTTATAATAGGGAAATTAGTTTGGCTGCACTGCTCATACAAAATAGTAAAACCAACATGACAAATAATCGTGATAAAATCGTGAAACGTGATATTTCAAAAAAAAAAAAGTGATATGATATTTTTGCCATATCGCCCACCCCTACTTTAAAATTAAAATATCCTTTATTAGAATATGACCGTGAAAACTTTGACAGGAATATGCAGTAAATAAATACTTCTGTATTTATTGCCTGTGTTCACCCTACACAGTTATTTCATTTGTCATGTTTAGACCTGTTAAATGCTCCACACCACTGACTAGAAAACAACAGTCTTCCGATATGAATCTCCAGAAACTGTACTTCCATGTTTAGTATAAAGGTAGATATGTACCTTTTGGATGGGTTTCTACATCATACACATTGCATTGCAAGTAGACAGTGATAAAAATTGTGGGTGAGACTTGTCCTTAGCGCTTATAAATTTAAATCCCTGCTTTTGTAATTTAAACCAAATACTGTGCCATATGGTTATTTGAAGAGGAGGTTTTGAGAAGGATCCAGTGAAATCACAAATATATCTCTCACGCACACACTTATTCTGTCCTGGGGGATTGTGCCTCTTGTTGTTTGCATTTGTTTGTCTCTTGTTGCTTGGAGCTCAAGGACGTCATACAATTATAAGTCATGGGAGTGGTACACCTATCAGAGTCGCGCACACACACACACACACACACACACACACAGACAGACACAGAGGAGAAAAAGCGCATCCCCTGGTGGGATCTGATAGAATGCTTTTACATCTCTTCCTGTGGCCTTTTTCACTAAACAGATAAGCAACTGAGAGCTCTGTACCCCTAATGATGCCAGTCACAATGTCAAGTCAAATCATACTTATCTGTGAATCACTTTTCACAATTCACATTGCTTCAAAGCAGCTTTACAGAAAATCAGGATGTTGTTTGATGACATTTTAATAACTTTATGCCCAGTAGTCGCATTTAACAGATTAGAGTTGGGTGATAATATATTAATACTCTTGCATTTTGCAAAGATGCTAGCAATTCAGCAGTTGAGATTTGCTATATAACTCTTTATATAATGGTCTTTATATAATGTCACTGTACAGTATACATGTATTTGTTATACCTAGGTGTGTGCACAATCCTTTCTGTACTGTAATAATTTATGTACCATTGTATTTACAATACTTATTTGGTACTCTTGTGTTATTACAGCAACATACAGCCATAGTATTAACATGGTATTACCATGTCCAAAAACATGGTAATATCATAGAACTGTTTTTTCTGTAGAGTTCATTAAATTTGTCCATGTACAGAAGCTTGAAGCAGGTTCTCTGAGATGCTGCATACCTGTCTTGAACTATTTTCTCTTGCATGAGTTGTGTCCAGGCGTCTATGTGGGTGTCTGCTGCCAGCTGAGGCGTTTTATCTTTGTTGTCGGTGTTTTCCTGCCAGATTTTCTGTTTTTCATTTTCTTAGTATGAATATGCATATTCAGTGTGACATAACTCTTTTGTGTCTCACTTGTTTTGTGTGTGTGTGCTATTACATGCTGTGTATACATACATCTACATATCATGAATATGCTTACACACACACACACACATCTCTCGATAACGATACGTTTTCTTTTGGAGATGCGCAAATTAGTAATTTAAGTGATATTACTCTCAGGTACCATTGTTCCTGTTTTTCTGACACAAAGGAAGCAGCGAAATACAGACTTCCTGTCATTTTCAGTGTATTTTTTACTATGTGGATATGCTTATTGGTTATGTGAACTTCTAACAATAGTTACACAATCATTTTTGTAAGTTGTTTCAGTCTGTAACAGTCCCGCAGTTATTCATGGTGTGCAAGATGTAGGCCTATTATTTTGTTAAATTGTGTCCTTATTTATTAATGTGTGTGTTTGTCCTACATAGCCAGATGTCCAGCTGATATTGTGTGTGCATGCTAAACATTTCCATATTTAAATAGATGAGACTGTGGGAATGTGCTTTATGCAAATTATATTTTAACTACCATATTCTGCGGCGTTACAGTGGCACGTTTGGCTCAGTGGTCTGCACTAAATTTTGCATGCTTCATATTTCAGAATGTCTGCTCATGTGTTAAGTGTCTGTTTATACACCATAGATATTTAATTCTCCTTACAGCTGCATCTGTAGAATGTTGCACACCTGAAGAGGCCAAAAATTACATTTACTGTTTTCTCTTTTCAGGTGAACATGCCTGAACTAGCCCTGCTGCGTTTCGTTGTTCTGGATGATGATTATATAGGTGATGACTTCATTGGCCAGTACACCATTGCTTTTGAGTGTCTACAACCTGGATACCGAAATGTGCCCCTGCTGGGCCTCGCTGGAGACCCTTTGCCCCACGGCAGCCTGTTTGTACACATCGCCATCACTAACCGCAGAGGTGGGGGAAAGGCCCAGAGACGGGGTCTGTCCGTCAGGAGAGGAGCACGGCGTGGACGAGAGTACGTCACTCTGCGTAACACAGGAATCAAAGTGCTGGATGACACTTTCCGCCCAGCCAGCGGACCTCTGCGAGAAGCTACAGACCTGCGAGAGGATGCACTGGTAAGGGAGGTTGTGCATGTTCAGACAACAGTAATACTAGCAATTTGACTTCTGCACTACTTAGCAGCCACACCCTGCTGAAAAGACCAGGTTACACATGTAGGAATTTCCATTCTGGTTCAGGTTGGTTTATGTAGATTAACGCGGTTTGGTGCTGGTCAGCCAGCATGGTTTTTTCCATGTGATGCTGGATGATCAAGGAAATCTTGCTGGTAATGGGGGATAGTTCACCCAAAAAATGAAAATTTACTCACCCTCATGTTGTTCCAAACCCATAAAACTTGGATTATTCTTCAAAGACAGACTGATCCAAAGATCCAGAAAGGTCATAAAGGCATCTTAAAATGAATCCATAAGATTCAAGCGGTTTAAGTTTTATGTAGACATGCAATAGCTTCATAAAATGAACAGATTCAAATTAGGCTTGCATGCCTGTACTTTCAAAGGAGAAACAGAAACTTCTCATGTTTCATAAAAAATATCTTAATTTGTGTCTTATGGTTTTGGAATGACATGAGGTTGAGTAAATGATGAATAGAGTTTTTTTTTTTAACTATAGACGTTAATCAGGTTAGGCACTGGTGAATTTAACGCAGATGAAAACAACACTGTGAGGGATAGACTTGCAGTTTTTGCAAAATCACACACTGTATAAAGGACCTCATAACATTCAAAACTGTTTTATGAAGTTATTCTGTTGAAAGTTATTTAGAAAGGCGTTTCATCAGCTGAACTATCGGTATGTTGTTTAATAACAGTACAGCCCATTGGACCTACTGCAACTCTCTCCGTCACAGCCTTGTTTTCATTCCTGTCAAAAATGTAAGGTTTATCGCTTTATGCTTGAGGCTGTGCTGGGGGCTAGCATCCTGATAAGTTTTTAAAAGTTATCAGTGCACTGCATAGAAATCTATAATCTAAAAGCTAAATAAATAGTAAATAAACATTTTTTTTAATTTTATTGGAATAATTTCTAAACATTTTATAATTAAATATTTGATTGTATTTCTAAATATTTTATATTCTTTCTATCATATTCTATGGGTGCAGCTTTTACTAATGTGTTTCATTTTAAATGGATGTATTTGTGATTGGATGAGGCCACATTAGTGTCAGGGGTAGCACTGGTCCATCTAGATTGACGGCTGGCTCTCCCAGTCAGAGCGGTCTAAATGTAATGGTTTGGAAATAGTGAACAAAACAATTAAGTAGCTTTTTGTCAGCGCTATTAGTGCTGTTCAGTGGCTCGTGCAGATCATTGGTGCTGTTTGTAAATATGTGTCGCTCACTAATAACATGGCCATGTCAGACACTGAAAACAGATATTATAGCGAGACATCCACTCACCTGAAGATTCGACCTCACTTGTTGCAATGCTTTGATACAGAGTCACTGACAGACTTTTAATAATCAGATGACATGAGATTGCAAGTCTCAGTTCTGAACATGTAAAAACCAGACACCTCCTCACTGGAGTATGGCCATCTATTGTAAAAGCAAACCTCAGTTCACTTGCCATTTCTGAGGTTTGTAAACACACACATTTCTAGCAGCTCGATGTGTTGATCTGAAGTTTCAAGGCCTAGAAATTAAACCAAGCAAAAACACAACAGTTATGCTGACCTAGACTATGTGAAGTTGAGGTATGATTTATGGGTGACGGTAAGGGGAGGAGGGATGGAGGGTAGAGTATCTGTGGGGTCAGGTGACAGGGCCAGGATCATTTGCCACCGCAGTGTGTTGAGGAAGAGGAGTTACTCCACATCCATAATTACTGTGTTCACAAAACCTGCTGATCTCAGAGATAAACACACAACCAGACAGCAGCTCCAAAAACTATTTCTTTTAGTCTTATCTTCTGTTAACCATCTGATCCAATGGTCCTTTTTGGTAGGATTATGAATCTTTTACCTCACACACCACAGGTAACAGACTTGTTTGTTTGATAATTTTAGCCCAAAGGCATTCTTATCATTCTTTGAATTAAAAGCCACCTGGTTTGATATATATTTTTTATTATATATAATGCAATGACATTCACACCTTTTCATTGTCTAAATACTTCATGGGGTCACTGTACACACTGGTCCCTTTTTCTTTCATTTCCATTCCATTTTGCTGTATAATATATCTGAGCCACAACAATGTCCACTTTATTCCCAGCATACCCTATGTACTTGTTTCTCATACAAATAAACACCGATATACAGACTAATCATCACCCACATGAAGCCCCCTTAACACACACGAACATCTCCAAATGGCTTTGTTAATCACGGTTGTGGGTGTGTGATTCTGTCAGGTGGAAAATAGAAATGGGCTCTCTATCTGCCACAATGTAATGAAGGGAAATGTATGATAAAAAGCTGAAATGTGATTAGCTGAGGTCTTTGACAGTCAACAGTCATGCAGACACAGAAAGCTGTTCAATTGCACAGGTTTATCTGTCTGTATAAAGGAAAGAAGTCATTATTTTGGCTCTGCCTCCTGAGAGTAGCTTTACATAATAAAGTCAGTGTCAAACAATATAAATATCACTATTTTTCAAGGTTTCAGACTCTTAGCTCCCTCTTTTTTTTTTTTTTTTTTGACGGGATCTTGCAGTTGTGATCGTATACTTTTAGAGTATTCTGTATTATACTATTTAAAAGTTTGGGGTCCATTTTTTTTATTTTTAAAAGAATATTATAAGAAATAAATACATTTAGCAAGGTTACATAAAATTTATTAAAAGTGTATAATATAATGTATAATGTTATTAAAGATTTCTATTTCGAACAAATGCGGTTCTTTCAAACGGTCTTTTAGAGGAAAAAAAGTATTCCACAAAAATATTATCAATGTTGAAGGCAGTTGTGCTGCTTAATAAGAATTATTTGTTGTGCATTAAATCCACATAATAGAAGGATCATGTGACACTGAAGATTGGAGTAATGGTTGCTGGAAATTCAGCTTTTCCATCACAGGAATAAGTTATATTTTAAAATAAGTTGAAACATGATTATTTTAAATTGTAATAATATTTCACAATGTTTGTTTTACTGTGTTTTTTTTATCAAATAAATACAGTGAGCACAAGAGACATCTCATAAACATGCTACCCCAAGCCCAAAATTGGAAATATGCATTTATGTTTCTTTTGTTTATTAACATGACATTTTTGTGCTTATCGTATTATGTTTCGTACTTTTATCTCTGTCTCTTGGACTTACTGAAATATTTGTGTTAACCAAGTGTGTGCCTGTGTGTTCATGTTTTCTCTTTCTTTAGAGCGCCACAGTGGCTTTTAAAGAGCAGTGTGGGCTCCCCCCGATGGCCACACTGAAGCAGTGCATTCAGAGCTTAGCCACGAGGCTGCAGAGTCCAGATGGGACCCCATGTGCCACACTCACTCTGAAGGAAGGTTACCCATGCCTGGAACCGGTGGGAAACTTGACTGATGCCACTCGTAAACTGCTAAATGGTTATGACACGGTAAGAGACGCCTATTTATGTAGGCTATTTTAATGTCATGCATCATTACCATTTGTTTTTCTGTTGGGCTGTCAGTGGTTCCGTTTCATAGACTATAATAGGCCAACTTTATGCTTATGCTAAATTTCCCAGGCATCACTAATGCGCAGATAAAACCATTTCCTAAATGTTAGGCTATTACCTGCATTACCTGCCATTACAATGGCATTTGTCTTTTTATCCATCCCACATGTATGTGTGTGGGAGTAAGAACAGGCACATCGGAGTGAGTAAGACATTTCAGGTTTTAGTAACCATCCTCCTCCTCTCCTTTTGTTGGTTCCCTCATTCTCTGTCTCTCCCTGTGGGTTGACTCTGGGTTCTGTTGTGTGTTTGAGACCCAGAGAGTCAGACTGCACTGACTGGCAGGACTGCATTTTATAAATATCTGCACTGTGAGAGAGGGCAGCAGGGGTCTTCTCAGAATTGTATTGCTTAAAGATCTCTTTTCCATAGTTCATAATAGAGTTCTCAGATGTGTAATGTTTGAGCATTTTATGTTATGTCAGAAATGAGACAGTAGTTTGCATAGAGTAAAAGTATAGACCTATGAAATGAATGAATAATGTATAATTTAGCTGGGATAAGTCATAGAAGAATTTCATGCAAAATTATGAGCAGTTTCTCACTCTTTTGGGAGACGTGAGTTCAGCAGGGTTATTTTTTTTTTTAGAAAATTAGTCCTTTGGGTTCATATTTTTAGCCATATTCATAAAATTTGTGTATGTGTACAATACTGTTGAATAGTTTTGGGATTGATTAAATGTTTTCATATTTTTGAAAGAAGTCTCTTCAGCTGGGATTGGAACAATGTTACAAAATAATGAACTACAGTTTAGGTGAAAAGTGACTTTATTTCTAACACTCATTCCTTGGCTTGATTGGATGAAGGCTTCCAATGAGTCCACTGGTATGGTCATCGTCACTTTTTTTTGTCACAACAAAGACAAAAATTATATTCATATTCATAAAATGTGTGATGTGTACAATACTGTTGAATAGTTTTGGGATTGATTAAATGTTTTCATGTTTTTGAAAGAAGTCTCTTTTGCTCACCAAGGCTGCATTTATGTTTTAATGCAGTAAAACAGTAATATTATGAAGTATCATTACATTTTAAACTGCTTATTTTTTTAAAATATATTTTAAAATGTAATTTATTCCTGTAATGGCAAAGCTGAGTTCTGACTCCAGTCACATGATCCTTCAGAAATCATTATAATATGCTGATTTGGTGCTCAAGAAACATTTATTATTATCAGTGTTGAAAACCGTTGTACTGCTCATGCATTTTTTTCCAGATTCTTTTTAGCACTCTTTTTGATGAATAGAAAATTCAAAAGAACAGCATATATTTGAAATAGGCATCTTTTGTAACATTGTAAATGTCTTTACTGTCATTTTGATCAATGCATTGTGTCTTTGCTGAATGAAAGCATTCATTTCTTTCTGAAAAAAATCTTATTAAAATATATGAGCAGATCATAATATAGTTCCTGTCTGCATCCTTCTTCAGATCATCTCTTCCAACAAACAGCTGATAGAAAATGCAGATGGAGTGCATGAGAGAATCGCACAAGTGCAGAAGGAAGGTGAGTAGAGGTGTGGGGGAGAAGATGAGTGGAGATTAATCATCTTTGTATTTTCTTTCCACCGAATGATGTTCCAGTCAGGCCCCAGAGGATGTGTGAAAGTCTTGAGAAACAATTCACAGATTTTTCAAATTTGCATTCAAAGTAGATCCTGTTATCCACAACACACACAGTCCCCTATCAACACTTTGAAACATTGCCTTTTATCCTGAAAAGTTCTGAGAGTTGTTTTGAAATGATGTAAGTCTAGTCAGTATCCAGTGTTGATGAGGTACTTATACTAGTGATGCTCTTAATTACATTTTCTAGTAGTGTGACAGCAGGGCTGTTGCTAATAAATCGGGGTCACTGGTACTGTTTATCTCGTGGGGCCCCCCTTTGGCAAAATCGCAGTAGGTCCCCCACCACTGGGGGTCCCTTGAAATGTCACACACTTTTCATCCCACATGCAATGGCTCTTTTTTGTAGCTTTTCCAGTAACAAGCTACAAACTTTTTTCCAAAGCGTATTTGTTTTTGTAGCATGACAAACCACAACACCACTGTTATGTGAAATTGGACGCGCAGCTTTATAACCAAGTTAGTCAACGCAATATTCAAAGAATGTAGCTTTGGGAGACTCTTTTCATTCTGGCGGTGTCATGTAAATAAACGATTCACCATTTAAATAAATCATTCACAGTCCCTGCATGGAACTTTCTGTCTTCCTTTTTATATTTAATGTAGAAAATGGTGCTTTTATCACCGTGTTTGCAACCCAGTTTTTTTTAAGTTTAGGTGTTTTTAAAAGTTCGTAATCTGTTCAAGCACTGTATGACCTGTCACCCTAATTGACATTCATTAATTAAACCCCTCAATGTTTTTAAAATGAAAATGATCTATTAACTATTAGTAAATAAAAATTATATTATAGTAATAGTAATAATTCATAAGTTTATTTGAACATTTTATTTTGTTACTATATTTTTAGTAGCTTGTAATTGAGCCACAGTAACTACTTTTTCAAAAGAGTAGCTTGACTGTTGTTGAAGTACTTTAAATTATGATAGCTCGACAAATTACAGTTTTTTTTCCCATGGTAACTACCAAAATACTGCAGTTATACAGTTACTACTGTAAAATCTTGAGAAATGGATATGACAAGATCATTAAATGCTTTCTACAAGTACTAGAATATCCTCACTCTCTGTTTCTAGCCTCATTATCGCTCACACAAATGTTTTTTACCCCCAATTACACATATCCAAGGCACATAGGTCAGAATACTGTGTTCTTATGTCCTTATGAGGGTATATTGATGAAATAAGAGCGAGCGAGTACAGACAACACAGCAGATTAGGAATGAAAGGGCAGCTTACAGAGGCCATGCCAAGATTCATCACGGGAAGCACTATATTATCTAACCAGAGGATGAATGAGTACATATCATCCATTATTTGGCAGCTCAGTTCCTACAGAAGCATGTTTGCACCATAAATGTAATTTTAAAAATCTCAAGCCAGAGAAAAAAAAAGATTAAATGATACATGTTATGTATGTGTTTGTTTTCTGTTATATGTTCTCTTAGGAATGGTGTTTCATGAAGACCTGGCCAGGTTGGGAGAAAAGGAAAATCTAAAAGGCCGTAAACAAAGTAAAGCTGTGGAAAGTTTCGCTTGGAACATCACTGTTCTGAAGGTAAATAGCATGAGCTTCTCTTTCCCTCCCTCAAATAGCCTTCAAATTTTGGATAATGTTTTCACTCTGCTTTTAGACGAAAGGGAGAAAGGCTTCTGTTGTTTTGAAATTCTATCTTGCAAACGTAAGTTGTTTGACCTTATAAATACAGTGTGTGTGCGGTGGACTTTTGAAATGAGCAGGTCCAAGTCGGTTTTAGACGATTGGAAATTCATTTTTCAGTTCCATTGGATGTTTATGCAGTTTATGGGTTAAAAGTTAATGCAACAGCATTTACCTTACACTTGGGACTATAAACAAGAGACATTGCCATAAAAGCTATGAAAAACCAAGTCTCTTCACAGTCTTGTTGTTTGGCTATTATTAGTAGTCGCTGTATTTTTAGAGCTTTAGTCGATAAATCTTCTATGTCCTTTAAAGAGGACATACATTTTTAATTATTTAGTTTTTCCCACTGAGGTCCACATATAAAATGTTTTTGTTAAAAAAATCATTTAGTATTCATTATCATTTCTTGTTATGACTTGTGTATGAAATACTTTGCAGTGAAGCACATCCAAGTGACTATAATACGTGTGACAAAACACAAATGAGTTGTTCATAGAAAAATCCATGAAAATAAGATTTATGAAATAGATGGGGTGGTTTTTTGACATATTGAATGATTCAGTAACTGACTCCTGAAGAATCAGTCATGAATCAGTGCTTTTAAACAAATCGGTTTGAACGAGTGATTTAATGATTCAATGATTCACTCAAAAAGACAGTCACTTGTCGCCACCTACTGGTGTAAATATGAAACCTGCTTAAAAAGTCATCCCTCTGCTAATGCACAGACTGTGAACCTAATCAAATTCATGCACCAGAGCTAACTGATGTATGTAGCTAACTGAACTTCATAACCAACCAGGTTCATGTAATTCATGTCTCTCTCTTTTTAGGGTCAGTGTGACCTCCTGCGCAGTGCTAAGCTAGATGCTTTGGATACATTGAGGCAGCTGGCTTTGGCCTGTGAGGTGTCCGGCCTGATCTTGACCTCTGACGGTCATTACACCCCTCATGGCCTGTCCTCCAGACGTGGCAGTAGCCATGGCAATGGTCGCATCTGAGCCCCAGAGACACGCATAGGCATTGAGAGAGCATTTATTCATAGGTGAATGAATGGTTGATTGTTGAACAGACAGAGATACAGGTGTCTCAGATGGACAGATGCTATTCGGGACATTTGTCCTTTATTGAAGTGGGTGCTTGTTCTAGCTCAGCATTGACCAGATGTTATTTGAGGACAAAATAAGGAATTTTCTTATCAAGACATACTGAATGAAGGACGTAAAAGGAATTAAAGCGAATTCCTCAGCGATATTAAATGACTGATGTCAACAGTGTAGATTTCGCTGGAATGAAAAACGTTCCTGCAATACTCCTTGCAGTTCACAGACTAGAAATGTTCTTTCGATGTATAGATCTAAAACTGCAACTAATGTTAAATACAGAAGACTCATTAGTCTTTCCCCTAGTTCATGACAAAACCACCAAGCGTGAGGTTTGTTTACTCAGGTTAGCACATCTCAGAAATGCTTTTAGAAGGTCTGACATTAGTCTGCATCATCTTCAGGGCTGTATCTTCATCTGTGCTATCACTCAAATTGATTGACAGGTGATTCCCACCAGCAGGACAGCACCATTTCTGCCCCCAAGCCCTAGACAGTCCAAAGTGTAGGGTATATAACTGGTGCCTCTCCGTTGAAGGCAACCATATCCTCATCTTCCAGTGACACAGATCGTCTTCAGCTCATTAACAATGCAGAATGAACTCAAGAAGGCTTTGTTAAAATACTGCTCAGTGCTCCCTAACTGTGTTAACTGAGCCGGTTACTCAATGGGACGACAAGTACCGATTACACCCCATATCCATGTAACACGTATGGAATTCAGCTGGGATTGGAACAATGTTACAAAATAATGAACTACAGTTTAGGTGAAAAGTGACTTTATTTCTAACACACATTCCTTGGCTTGATTGGATGAAGTGTTACTAAACATGGCAAGAATCGCTGCCGGTTGTTTGATTAAAAAATAACTAACTATTATAAACAGCTTTACGCACTGAGAGGACTAAAGTAGTTAAAAAACAAAAAGTATAATCTATTTGACAACTTTCATTGTGGAACATTTGACAGTGTTGTGATAGACAAAGAAAAACATTGGCAGTATTTTGTCTACTGCCATTAAAACACTTACAATAGACTAGTTTTTGAAGTTTGCACCTTTTCTTTTCATGTTAACAGAGTAACAGAAATTAGATATGTGAGATTGGAAAACTATATATATATATATATATAATAAATACAAATATGAAAAAGCAAACTCATCATTAATTCACTCATTGGGTAAAGGTTTCAGCGCTCTGCGGGCACCCTGTCTGTCAGACTAAGGTGGATTACACCTTTCCAGAGGATAGACATGCTGTACGGCAAACATATATATATATATATATATATATATATATATATATATATATATATATATATATATATATATATATATATATATATAATATTATTTTTCTTATGGTAGACAAGTAGAAGTGTTGGTACGTTGTGTGCGTATGTGAACGTACTCGTGCAAGGGTGCTAATGTAAATGTGTGTGAGATGTTTCAGTGGTACATGTTCTGAATGTGACCAGTCTGATGCCTGATCGATTTGGGCAGTTATTTTTAAACGAAACCCTTACTGTTGGTTGATGTCAGACATTTTATTTTATAAGACCAAATGAGCATATTCACAACAGTGAATATGTAGAAATCGATAATGAATGGGATGAGAAAAGGCATAACATTTCCACATGAGCAAACGTCCTGTTTTGTGTCTTTACTCTCCTTTTTAACACTTTTACTCTACTTTGGACTGTTCTTTACTACTTTTATGTATTTACTTTTCTCTTCCTTTGTCTGTGCCATTGTTCTTTTCCTATTCTCTGTTTTTGACTGAAGGGCGAGCAATTCATGCCTGTTCTGTGACAGTTTTTGTGCGTGTTCACGTGTGAACTGAATGTGTACTTCCTAAAGTGTTCCTTAAAAACTAATTGTTTGCTAAAGAGTGAACAAAAATGTTTTGTGAATTATATAAGAGAATTATAATAATTATAGATATTATATCTTTAATTGTCCCCTTTATAATGCGTCCGTGCGTTTGTAACACTGGACCTGTAACCCAGAGGATCTGTGTACCGGTATAGGGGCCAAAATCTAAATAATGAATACCCATTCACAGTATCAAGTAAGTTGTCTCACTTTAGACGGGTACAAATACAAAGTGTCACTGTCCGTAAGGGTCGATGACAAGCAAAATGAACCCCATTGAGGTAAACCCACTTTAAACTAAACCGAGCAATCTATTTGGACCGGTCTATTGATTCCTGCAGTATTAGGTAGAGGTCAACATCTCAGGCGGTGCAATATTACTCTGCTGTTTGACGTTAAACATAATGACTAGTTTAATGAGGAGCATTAATCCAGCTGTCCTAATTTGTCGTTTCTGCTTTTTCCCCCATGTGTGGTTACTGTGCGTTTGTTGTGTCTGCCTTTCCTCTGACTCTTAAAAATTAAATATATTGTTTAAAATATTTTGTCTCATTCTTGTTAGCAGTTGTTGTCCTTGTGTAAATGGAGAGTATTTATTAAAGGTGACAAGCGTGCGTTAAACAAAGTAAACTTCAAAGCTATGTTGCTTTTATTTTGAAATGATGCTTTGTATTTTATAACATTAACAAGTTGATGTAACACAGATGTGCCCCAGACTAAATAAAGCTATCTTTTACTGACTGCTGTCTCTTCTGTTAACCGTAACTGTTGTGTCTTATCAATACTGCTGGAGCTCTTTAGCCATTTAATGGCTTGTGTTTGGGTATGTTTGTTAATAGGACGCTTATCCAGTCTACTTAACATTATTTTGTGGGGAAACGGTAGCCATCAATAACGACCATGGGAAAACATTCAAAGTAACCAGCAGGTGGAGTTGTTTCCAGTCTTTAAAACCAGAGGCTTATTGCAGGTCTGTTGCTACTACAGAAGTTATTTCATGCCTGTCAAGCCTATTGTAATTATTTATTCAAATATTTCTTATGTGTACCAGATGCTTATTTTGACTTATTTGCATTATAACATCTAATCAAGAATTTAAAGTATTTTAAGTATTTGTGCTTTATTAATATACGCAAACACTTAACTCAAATTTCAAAACTTGCGCACAATTACATTTTCAAGAAACAAAAAAATAACTTTTTACTCATTGTGATTTCATTTTGATCTCCCAAAATCAAATGATATATTTCTCAGGTCTTCATGGCTTAAATATATCCTTTTTTTTTGTCTGTCATACTGAACAAACAAGCCAATTAAAATTATATTCCACAAATTTATGTGTATCTAATGAAATTAATTTCAGTGTAAAGTGTAACTGACCTCAGATTTCTCATTTGTCACTGCAACATGCTATTTGACATAAGGCCTTGTGCTTTTTACTAACTGGTAATATGCAAGTCCAATTTAACTACTTAGAGTAGTGTGAATATGTTTATCTTACTTCTTTAAGCAACTAATGTAAAACAACTATATAAAATCAGCTGCTTCTGAATGTAATGTTTTGACTCTATTAGGATTTTGATTTCAGAGTCATACTCACAAACCGCCTCTAAAACTAATCAGTTAATCAGTCAAAAAGTAAGCATTAAAGCTTTTAACTGAGTGATATATGGACACTCAAGCTTTACCTTTGCAGTTATGATGCATGAACTAAGATTAAAGTAATCTACGATGAACATATACAGTCTAGGTTTGCCTAAATATAGTGCACTTAAGTATTTCCCTACCACTATATTTACTATTATTATTATTATTATCATCATCATCAATAATATATTCTTTCTCATAAAGGTTGGCTGCTATCAACAGGGAAACCCCTTTTGGTCTATGACCAACTGTATCCTGTTGTTAGCAAAATTACCTCTTGGTGGAGACAGTGACATAGAATTACAGTGAGAAATGAATATCCACACCATTCTCTGGTAGACTACTTATTTGAAAAGGCAGAAAACAAACTCAAAATTGAGTCAAATATATTAATAAAAATATTCATTTTATTATTATTATTAATCAATTTTTCTTTACTATTTTTCTTGAGTTTATCTAATCAGTGATGTTTTTATTTATATATTTGTCTTTGTCACAATTAAAAATTTATATATATTTTTTAAGTTGTTGCAAAAAAAAAAAAAAAATCAAACCCTAAGTGCTCTGATTGTGACCCAAAGCATGGCTGTGGAGTCTCTGCCCATTACACATGGCACTGGGTTTTATAGACACGCGCCCCACAGGAGCAGATGTAAGAAGATGTGACACTGTGCCAAGCGGACAGGTGAAATGACAGGCTGACAGCCTCTAATGCAAGCAAACATCTGCCTGCTTTTGGTTTGTGTCAAGAGCATGCGCAGATCTGCCCTCCGATCCCACCTGAGGCCATGAGAGTCAGAGTGCAGCTACGAAGACATTTTTCACTTTAAAAAAACACTTTTAAGACACTGACGCTGTATAATGGCCGCAGTGCGGTCAAAATATTTTTTGAAACCTCCATTTTAGATGTTTACCATAAACCTTAGATCTTCAGAGAAGTTCATTTGTGCTTTATAATGTCTCAGAACTATTTTTGAGAGGTATAGATGTGTTCGTACATTTAATTTAGACCTCGAAGAAAAGTTTAAGTATCATTTGATTTCTTCGGCGTGACTTTTACTTAACAGCGGTGAGAGCAATCAAATCCTTGACACAGCTAGTGTTAAAACAGCTAGCCATTAGCAGCTGGAGCTCTTCGTGTTTTTGTCAGGATTCTCACAGCAAGTCACATCGCGGGGACGTTTCTTTTGCCAAAGGCGCTCACCAGCGATGACGCTGTGCTTCCCAACACTAATAGGGCCCTGTTAATTTTAGCCTGGCGTGCGCCTCAGAGGAGAGCCACTTTGAGTTTAATTACAGTCTTCCTGAGGCAGCAATTTCACTATGATTTTGGTGGAGAAGAGGAAAAAAAGCGCGAGAAATGATCACCTCTTAAAAGTGTCTAAATTGCATCTTATTTTTCCCCTCTTTTTAACCACAACAAAAGGGACGGGCACAATAGCGCGGCATGTTTCCTTCCAATCTAGCGCGCTGTGACAAATTACAATGCCATTATCTGAGCTGTATTAAAGATGGCACAGGAGGACTGATGAGGCGTGATTGAAAAGTTTGTCATGTAAAGTTTCTTTCCAGCATGTTGCGCTTGCTCTCTGAGCTACAGCACATTATTAGCTGCCTAGCTTTACTCCATATAAATCTGATTCCTTTCATAACTGTCCTTTCAATATGCTTTAAGCTGTGTCAAGACTGTGTTGAATGTAAAAATGCACTCTTGACTTCACTTCATGATGTGTTTCAGGTTTGGACTTTTGGAAACGTCCTGGACTTCACCACCAGTAACATTCAAACACATTGTGATCTGGGTTTTGCAGAATGAATGATCTGAAATGTGAAGAATCTTAATTAGAATCTCAGAAATTAACCAGGGATCAGGATCAAAATGCAAAATATGAATTATGTTATCTAACATTGAACCTTATATTTTATTCTTGGCCTATTTAAATTGAGACATTTTAAAGACATTAAACTATTTGCTTTTAATTGAACTGATATAAATCAAATATACACACAACTATATATGTTAGAAATAAGTGAGATGTTCCTCATAAAGGTAGAAAAGGCCCATTAAAATCAATTTCAGGCCATATAATGTAATGATATCTAAAAATAACTGATGCTATAAGTTATACATTGATAATCTTTACCTTGAGACTGGACTGCATCATTGAGTTGAACTTAGGAACCGACTGATGAACAAATCTTTCAGGCCAGTTTTGTAAAACAAGTAAACCGAATCATTGAATTTTGAATTTTCCAAAATCTGACATTGCCATGCCTTGAATAACTGAAGGCCTACATCAGGATCCATTTCCATTAATAATGGCGCACAGTTATTGTACAGTATGTGTTTAGAAAACTTGCAAAATGGCATACAAATCATATGGCTCATTTCCATGCTTTTATAAGCTTGAAAGCTTCAGAATTTCTTATTTTGTGGTTCACAGAAGTCATAAAGGTTTGGAACAACATGAGGGTGAGTAATGACAGAATTTGACCCCTTTAATAGATATTTATTGTTTATTTTTAAATTCAATTACACTGCCTTTACACCGTAAAAAATTATAATTTTTTTTATTATAACATTATTTATATATTATGAA